GCGGGGTTTTAAAAAAAAATAATACCAAGTGTCGCATTACTACTTGCCTGTCACAATAATTATTAGGAAAGTCCACTGTACCTTTCAGAGATGGCGGACACTTTCAATAAATCTTTCTATTCGACTTACCTGAAACAAAAAAGAATTGTTAGTGTGTAAACTATAATATACGTACGTAATTTGAAAATTGACATAAATCATTTGAAATTCAGTTACTGTTAATGTCCTTTCTGAAAATATATAACGAATTAGGATATACAGACTGGTACGCTACAAGAGTTTGAATTAGATTGTAGACGAGCACATTGCAAACTTCCTTGACTCATCTGTCGCTGTTGGTTTCACAGAAGTCATCGATGAGAACACAAGAATACCTATCCTTTATATTAGGCTACTTCAATGGAATTTAGGACCAAAAATGTATCAGAATAGATATTTCTAACGAGCACGAGAAGACGATCCGTAGATAAAAATCAGAACAATTGAAGTAGTTTGTTGTACCTTCTGCGGTGGTTGTTGTATAGTTAAAAGAAAGCTAACGTTAGCATTTCCTTCGAAGCACAATATGCGGTCTATATCAAACAAGTTCAAAAAGTAATCGTGAACGATTTACAAAAAGCGCGTTTCCACATTAACAATCTTTGTCTGAAAATATTATTTACCTCAGCCAAATTCGTTTTCAGCAATTTACCCAAAAAAATCCATCCACAAATAAGAAAGTTAGCACTGCGCATGCACAAGGGTGGATCGAATTTTTTTTGTTTATTTTTGGAAGTGGCGAGGTTTGGAAAACATGCTCTACATGATTACAAAGAAAAGTCTCTTAAGAAATTTGTTAAAATTTTGAACGAAAGTACTGCTCCCAGCGCATTGAAATAACTGAAGGAGTCCCTAAGTGGGTGTATACTTTATAAGGAATAAAAGTAGTCTACATTAAGTAATTAAAAAACACGCCCAATAAAACACCGATTTCTTAGGCTGCTAAGTCGGGCGCCAGCTATAAGGAACGTCTGGTGAAGGAGGTTCACTTGATTATGTAATTCCGTGAATTTATTAAGAAATCAATTTTTATTAAAATGAATTACAAAATTATTTGACAAAACCAAACAAACTATAACAACTTCTCAAGTGTATTACCAAGCAAGTTAGATAAAAATGAATCTAGAAATGTTTAATTAGTTGCCTATAATTACATGTTATAAAATAATAAAAAAAAGCTTATAGCCATTACTTCAAATCTACATACGTAATGAAAAGTATTAAAAGAAAAATTTTTACAGTTTTTTACAGAATTGGACTAAATGTCGTATTGTCTTCTCAATTGTTTGTTAATACGGAAATGCGCTCTTCGTAAACGCTTAGTAAACGATTACCCTTGGGGCCTGTAAATAATGAACCTATCGCCACGAGATCCTCGATGCAGAAAAACATGCTCATATCTGCGCACAAAATGTTCGTATAAGTCTAGAAGTATCTCGTTTTCATTTTGAATGTAAGCTGCATATATCAATTGAACACTATAAATGCAATTTTGTAGATCAACAAGCAACGATTAAATTCAGAGGCGTTCTATTTTAGCCCTTCTATAGTTCGATAATGACTTACATTTAATTTCTGAACCACACGTTACTAACCGTAACACCTTTAACCGCTTATGAGGATACTTTCACACGACGCTCTATTGCCCATTAGGGTGGTTAATGAGCTCTACGTACATGGTTCATTATGTACTTCACATTTTATTTCTTGCTATAAATCTGGTTTGATTCGTTCTCTTTGTCACGTAAAGCAAGTGCCTTTACTGACTACCTAATTAGGATTGTAGGTGCGTGTTGGTTAGCGACACGAATGGGAAATAATGTAAATTCTTATAGTTTGATATAACATAATCTTTAGCGTATGCAATTTACATTTATCAAGCTAAATATAACACAAAAAATAGTCATTTTATAAAAGCTTATACGCAAAAAAATGGAAATGTTTCCGATGTCTAAATTTCGTTGCAAAGAACTTTCTCTTTCCGCTGAAACCCATCTATAGCGAGTAATATTTTGCAGAACACAGTAGTTTAATGACGTTTTTATGGCATTTTTGAATTAAGATTAACAATCGGAAAGTCGTGCCGATACCCTCCGAATAGTTCAATATCGGTTATTTGGTTTGTCGCAGTATTTTATAGTATAACAAATAAATAGGATTACACTGTCCAATTGTAAATCTGCATAAGACATAAACTGATAGCGTAAATCAACAGGGCATATGATTAGAATTTAATTTGGTTTTGAAACGTGGCGTTACGATTTTAAACAATTAAAAATGATGGCAGTGCACAGGAAATGAAACGAAAAATACACAATTCACGTATGTACGTATACCTATCTCAATTGTGATTGAAATTTGTTTGCGAATATTCGGAGGATATAAATTAAATTTGAGACTCCATAATATAACATTGTATATATTTTCAAATGTTTACACATACGTTGGACTCAATTTTAGCTCGTTACATAATGCATTTTTAAATATCTTTTTGTTTATTTCTTATTTCTAAACTTCTGAACTTGGAAATAATTCAATGGACGGAACAATAAAACTCCTTTTTAATCTCCTAAATGATGGATATCGTATATATTCGACAGAAAAGTACTTCCAAGAATAATGTTAATCAGTTTGCGTAGAAATGTGTTGTCAAGTAAATTAATTAAGTGCTCAGTAACTTGTCATCTAACTAGAGGCAAAACTTTGGGCGCTGAGAAACAGTTTACCATATTTATCTTTAGATTTTAATTAAGCTTTCTTCTCGCATTTTAATCATTCAACATTTTGGCGATTATTTAATTGTAACTTAATAAATTTTAAACGAATTGCAATTTTCTTTTGTTAGAAGTGCTTCTCGTTACAAAAATTTGTTACTGGATAATGAATTGCTCTTCGGCATCAAGTTTCATTTGCAAAGCACTAAAAATGAACCTCTTCATTTTACGACAGTTGAAGTTTAATAATACATTTTAAGATTTATTATTTCGCCCTTCCATTCTTTGAAGAAATGAGGTGTATAATTTCCGTTTTCGCAGGTGTCTGAAGAAACGTTCTTACATCTAGTGGTTGTTCGGGATGACTAGGATGCAAAATATGCAACATTTAGGCAAGTTAGATATATTTAATAAAGAATAGCTTTAATTTACCACTTATATTATTAGAAGTGTCTCTGATTGGTTACTATAGCTTCCATAAGACCTTGCATCGAGGCTTGCATCCTCTACATTGTCATTTACCTCATCTACACACATATCAATATTTTGACGTTGCTCTAGATTTACTTTGCTAGCATCATTATTATAGTGATCAGAAACACCTTTGTTTTCGGAATGTTGCAAATTGGTAGAAACTGATGGATTTAGAAAATCAGAATAGGAGTTGCTTGTACTGAATTAGCGAGACTTACAGGCCTATTTTATATCTCGTAGCGATATCGTTACAATTCGATTCTCGTTCCGCCAACGATCTGTCAGCGAAAACCGATTTTGTAACTAAGCGAGATCGTTACAAAGCGATCAAGTTGTTACGATTTGATCGTTCATGAACGGTACCGCTCAGAGCACTCGTTGCCGATCGAAATAGGGACAAACGGTAGATCCTTAAAAACTGACGACGCATTTTATATCACTGTCACAATAATTATTAATAATTAATTAATCGTGTATTGTAAAATAATAATTAGTGATGGATAGGAATAACAACTTGTTAGAAATTTTACCAGAGCTAGAACGAAGGTAGGTGGATTTTTTATGTAGGTGCTAGCCCTAACCTCACCCTAGTTTATTGCTACCTACTATTTATTGCAAAATTATTTGTATTAATTTTGCAGAGAACGAGGTCGAAATATGTGCAAGTATTTGAGGGACACAAATGATCCTTTCTTTATTCCTGAAGAAAATTTCAGAAAAATGTATAGGTTAAGTAGAGAGGCTGCAAGGGATCTGTATTTGGAATTGTTACCACACATGGACCAGGGTAGAAGAGTTACAAAAATTCCATCAGTTGTTCGGGTATGAATGGGAATTACCTATATTAACCACAAGTTAAATATTTTCAATTTTTAAAACTCTCCAGTTTATAACAGCCCTACATTTCTTTGCACAAGGCAGCTACCAGAAATCTGTAGGCAAAGATCAGCACTGCAGTGTTTCACAAAGTGAAGTGAGCAAAAGTATCAATCAGATTATAAACACTTTATTGGAACATGCAGCTGCAAATTACATACGATTTCCTAGAAATATGAGACGTTACCAGAGTTAAAAGAGGGTAGGGAATAACTTAAACAGTTATGAAATACGGTCAGTTCTTTTTTTCCCCAGCCTATTCCACATAGAAATCATTTTTATTAACCATCTGAATTCTGATGTAATAATTTTAAGGTTTTTTGAAAAGTTTGGCTTCCCAGGAATAGTGGGATGTATTGACGGAACCCATATATTGATTGTTCCACCTCCAGCATGATGCATATCCTGGTCGAATTTTTATCAATAGAAATCATAGACATTCCTTCCCAGTCAACAAGAAAACATTAGAAAAATGTTTTAAAAACGTAACAACATTTAAATAAGCTTGATATGGAAAATGTTTTTCCAAAAAACGTTTTAGATATATTACAAAAATGTTTTACTGTAAATATTTTTGGGAGATATATTTTGCAAACATTTTTTACACATTTTGTGAAAAATGTATGCAGGTGCAATATTTCTAAAATATTTAAAAAAAGTGTTGTTGAATACCTAATCACGTGTTGTGAACCACGCACTCTTGGTGCAGTGCGCACTGCGCAGAACGCTTAACGGCTTCGTCTTATACTTAACCTCACTTGCAACGAATTGTTTACTACACGGTTTATTGTTCCTTAATTTGTTCGTGTTAATTTAAGTGTGTGGTATCATTTGCTATATTGTGCTCCATTAATTTATTCATTTTATTATTAGTTTAGTTGCTAAATTTTTGAGTGTTTTTCCGCCGGTGAATTATAACTACTTACCTACATAAGCCAACTCCAATACTCTATTTAGGTAAGTGTAATTTTAGATTCCTGTTACTTATAACCTTGCATGGTACCTGTTATAGTCGTGCTGTATATTCAAAGAATAAATTGCAATGTCAAAGAGAAGGAAATTACCGTTTAAGTTACTGTCAGCTCGCAGTCAACGTAGAAGGATGTATGATACTGATGATGAGGATGATAGTACCAATTTAAGCAATGCAGATAAAGATATTGAAACAGTCAGCTTATCTGATGATCAGAAGGCCATTCACAGCGAATCTGTAACACGATCCATGCATAATCAAAGTGCATTCGATTCTAACCTCGATTCAAACTTTGAAACATCCCAAACTAGTTCCAATCTTCTTGCTACGTCTGTTTCATCAAGTTCACCATCTTCAAATATGTTAAAGCTTTCATCTACAGATTCAGAGAGCAGTACGGCTAGTCTGTTTGATGTAGAATCGAATACTAATCCTAAGACCGAATTAGAAGATATTACAATTTTTTTACAAGAGTGGGCGTTGAATACCAATTGTACAACATCTGCACTATCTTCTTTACTTGTGGGATTAAAAAAACATTCTTGTTTTTCTCGTCTCCCAACTGATGGAAGAACTCTCTTAAAAGTGAAACGGTTGTTATCATCTAAGCCTGTTGATCCGGGACAATATGTGCATATTGGCCTAAAGCACCAATTAAAAGTAATTTTTGAGCCTTTGACATCGTTATCCATCACTACAATAGATTTATTAATAAATATTGACGGGTTGCCACTTTTTAAAAGTTCCCCCGGGCAACTAATTCCCATCTTATTTTCTATTCCAACAATAGTTCAATTGAAAGGTCAAGTTTTTCCCTTGGGTTTTTATTATGGGTTACAAAAACCTAAGAGTATGTCAGCGTTTTTGAATGACTTTGTTACTGAAGCTGTAGATTTAATCCAAAATGGTTGTTGAATATGACAAATGTTATTGTAAGAATAATTGGTTTTGTGTGTGATGCTCCAGCTAAAAGTGATGTGTTAGGCGTTAAAGGACACAGTGGTTATTCTTCTTGTACACGTTGTACTGTAGTTGGAGAAACGAGAAACCACAGAAGAATTTTTTTAGAAACTAATTGTGCTGCTAGAACTAACAGTGACTTTATTAATTGGATTGATCCATCATACAGATTACATGACACTTCTTTAGTTAAAATACCAAATTTAGATTTTGTAAATGGTTTTGTCTTAGACTATATGCATTTGGTATGTCTGGGGGTAATGCGAACTTTAATTGTGACATGGTATTCTGGAGATTTACCTCACAGGCTTTCATTTGAAAATATTTCAACAATTTCTAATAATTTATTACAATTGGTTCAAAATACACCAACTGATTTTGTGAGGAAACCTAGAGAAATAAAATATGTTCTTAGATGGAAAGCCACAGAATTTCGAATGTTTCTATTGTATTTCGGCCCTGTTGTTTTAAAAGGCGTTCTAGATCCTGAAAAATATAACAATTTCATTACCTTACATGTGGCCATTTCAATTTTGTGCAATACATTTAGATGCAAAGATAAAGATCAGAGACAGTATGCTAGGTGCTTACTAATTAATTTTATTAAAAATGTGCAAACTTTATATAGTCCAGATTTGATGACTCATAACTTTCATGGACTTATTCATTTGACTGATGATGCTGATTACTTTATAGGCAAAATCCCTGATTTTTCTTTAGACAGTATATCTGCTTTTCCATTCGAGAATTATATGCAGCAAATTAAGAGAATGGTAAGGGCGAAGAACGCACCTTTGGAACAGATTATAAATAGGATTAGTGAAAAATTTTGTTATGGTTCGCCTATAGATCCTATTCATAATACGGATACACCAAAAATGTTAATTTCTCATCAAAGTGGTCCACTTTTGCCCAATTGTGGAAATCCACAATACAAAAAAATTTCTTTCCGTTCCTTTACTCTTTCTACTACAGCTCCCAATAATTGCTGTAGATTAGTAAACGGTGACTATCAGCAATTCATTTGTAATTTTAGGGCGTAAGTACTTGATATGTATTTGGGAAATTGTTATCTCATAGCAGACTTGCACCAGTCGCGTAATGCAAGTCAAAGAGCTCACGCGTTTGTATAATGTAATAGTTTTGCAATAAATGTATTTCAGTATCCTTCCGTTATATGTGTATATATCCAGGATATCTAAATACAAAACAGTGGCGACGAGTGTCTTGATTAGTGATTGGAACAGTGGAAAATTGTGAATTAAAATGGCATTAAATCCGGTTAAAGTTGAAAACGTGCACGGCAATTTACACGAATTTGACCCAAACGTTCATCAATGGGACCTTTTTGTGCGTAAAATGAAACAATATTATTCTGCCAATAATATCGATAAGGCCGATAAACAACGTGCTTTATTTTTAAATGCGTTAAGTGATAACGCGTTTTCTTTAATGTTGGATCTTTGCATGCCGGATAAACCGGAAGAAAAAGATTTCGATAGTTTAGTGGAGTTATTCAATAACCATTTTAATCCAAAACGTGCAATATTCGCGGAAAAGGAACAATTTTACGGGGCGCGTAAGGAAAAACATGAATTGTGTAGTGATTGGGCAGCGCGTGTTCGTAGATTAGCAACGTATTGTAACTTCGGTAATTCTTTAAACATGATTTTACGTGATAAATTTATTATCGGTTATAATGACGGGAAAATTAAAGACAAATTGTTTCTAAGCGAGGAAAGTGTTACGTTTCAAGAAGCGGAGAAACAGGCGAAGACGTACGAAACACTAGAAGCCACTAGATCACATCAAATAGCCAATGATCAAGCGGATTTTTTCTACCGACGTGTCAATAACCAAAACCCCGGAGCAGCATCAACTTCTCGAAAAAGTGAGACGGCCGTAAAACCAGAGCCTTTGGACGTACATCTGGTAGGGAAAGGTAAACGTTTCAACAACCAGCAAGGTAAGAAGTCTAAATTTAGTAATTGGGACAAAGACGTAAACACTAAGTGTAGAGTATGTGGGAAAAATTCACATGCATCTACAGCGTGTAATTACAAAAACTATCATTGCCACAAATGTGGTAGAAAAGGACACTTACAGAGTGTTTGCGCCAACAAAAACTATTACATTAAAGAAACGCGTGAGCTCTTTGACTTGCATTACGCGACTGGTGCAAGTCTGCTATCAGATAACAATTTCCCAAATACATATCATTCCTCCCTCACATAACATAAGTTATTTTATTGCGAACCAGTCAGGAGGTTTTCTGTTTCTGGTTGGGCGCAACATACTTCTAGAGTTAGTTACTACAAAATCATCTGCAATTGTTTCAGCTTCCCTAATTGGTTCCGGAGAACTAGCCTTTCCAACTGCAGATTCCTCTACTACATCATCGTCAACATTATTAACAATAGTTGCATTTGAATCAACAGTCAAAGGACGTGAATAATAATCTAATAAATCGTCATCATCGTAAGAAGGTCCTTTGATTATTTGATCCGAATGTCTTCTCCAGATAAAGTTTTCGTTAGTTAATGTCTTATAGTTTCGAGGTCCGTTTTGTTCTACAATTTCTGCAGGTACCCAACTCGGTTTAGCACGTCCATAATCGCGCACAAAAACACGATCACCTTTTTTAAAATTGCCTCTCGCACTCACTTTATTACGTTTCACTTCCGCACTGTTTCTTGTTAGTCTCTTCGGATCTCTCCCTCGTTCCTCTTTACGCAAATGCTGTCGCTTCAGCTGCTCTTCCGGTAAAATGAGATCCAATCGCATGCGTAGCTTTCTTCCTATCAAGAGTTCAGCTGGAGTAACACCCGTACTACTGTGAATGCTGTTCCTGTAGTGCAATAGGAAACGGTTTAATGCCGCAAAAAGATCTGTGGAATTCCTTTCTTCCATGGCCCTTAATATATGAGTTTTTACAGTACGTACCGAAACCTCTGCTAACCCATTTGTGGCAGGATGATATGGTGGTGGTGTAATATGCTGAATTCCATTCATATATAGAAAATGCTTGAAACATTCCGACACGAATGAACGTCCGTTATCAGTTACTACGATCTTTGGCAATCCCCACCGACTAAATATTTCTCGTAGCTTATCTACTGTATTTTCCGAAGTAATGTTCTTCATATAAACAACTTCTATCCACTTCGAATGGGAATCTACCACAATCATGAACATTTTATTATGCAGTGGACCAAAAAAATCAATATGCACCCTTTCCCACGGCTGTTCAGTTTTTGGCCACTCAATCACTTCAGCTTTCGGCGGACTGTTTCTGTGTTTAGAGCAAGCTAAACAATTTTTGCAAAATTCTTCGACGTTTTTATCGCACGAAGGCCACCATACAAATGATCTAGTTAATGATTTACTCTTAACTATTCCCATGTGTGTCGAATGTATCTCTTTTAAAACTTCTTTCCTGCAACGTGATGGTATGATTAACCGATGTCCCCACATCAATAGGTTATCTTCTATTTGAGAATAAGCCCTCTGAGTGGTTGTCAAAATTTTAGACGCAAAAGCTATTGGCCTTTCTTTTCCATTTTCGTATCGGTGTGTCAAAATTGCACCCACTGCGGTTGAAGAAGCGTCCACTGTCAACTTTACAGGAACTGCAGAGTCGTAGTGTGCTAATACATGTTTAGAAGATATCGTTTTCTTCAAAGTCTCAAATGCTTGATCGCAGGTTTTATTCCAAATCCAAGAACTTTCGTCTTTTAACAACCTATAAAGTGGTTCACACATACTGGCAAAATTTGGAATAAAAGCACGATAATAATTAAACATTCCTAATACTGACTTTAATTCCGATTTATTTCTAGGAGGTATAGCTTTTAGTAATGCATCTACCTTTTCAGTAGAAGGTCTGAGCCCTTCTTCATCTATTACAAACCCTAAGTAATTAACAGATTTTTGAAAAAAATTGCATTTTTCTCTTCGCACTGTTAATCCATACTTCTCTAATTTATTAAGCACCAAATCTATTCTAAGAAGATGTTCTTCCTTATTTCTTCCCGCGATTAAGATATCGTCAAGGAAACACGTAACGCCTTCCAACCCAATTAAAACTTTCTCCATTATTAATTGAAAAATGGATGGAGCTGTTTTAATTCCATACGGCATTCGGTTATACGCAAATAAACCCAAGTGTGTACTTATGGTTGATAACAATTTGGCCTGTTCGCTTAATAAAATTTGTTGATAAGCCGAACTTAAATCAATTTTGGTAAAATATTTACCACCCGCTAATTTGGAAAATAAGTCCTCGATTCTGGGTAGAGGGTAGCTCACATTTTTCAAATATGGATTTAGTGTGATTTTATAATCACCACATATTCGGACAGATCCATCTCTCTTCAATACCGGGACGATAGGTGTTCCCCATTCGCTCATGACTATTGGAGATAGGACGTTTTCAGACACTAGCCTATTAATTTCGCGTTCCACCTTTTCTTTTAACGAGAAGGGAAGTGGACGGGGTTTAAAAAATTTGGGTTCAGTCCCTATTTTAAGTTTTAAATCGACCACTGCTTCCGTAAAAGTGCCTAATTTATTATTAAATACTTGAGGGTATTTATAAATTAGTTTCTCCACGTCGCCGCCAAACAGGTTCACATTATTAATTACTTTAAAATTTTGCTGATTTTTACAAAACCAATCACGTCCCAAAATTGGTGGTCCACCATACTTAATTACAAAAATATTTATTGGATGCCTATTGTTTGAGCATGTGATTGTCATTGACGCGACACCTAGTGGAGTAGGTAATAATTTCACCACTGTAACCTTTTAATTTAATTTTCGTTCTTTCCAAAATTTCGTCTGGAAAAAGTGTATCAAATAAAAACTCGTTCATTGCAGATACCGCGGAACCCGTATCCAGTTCAAATTGCAAATACACATTATTTAAACACGCATCAACTAAAATTGGTTCGCCACTCTCTGTGTCTTTAATAGTGCGAATGGGTAACAAAAATTGATTGTTAATGTCTAAACTGTACAATGTGTCCAGGTCATCGTCTACGTCCACAAAATGAGAGTTTGCGGTTTTCCGTGGTTGAATGTTTTTGT